GTCTGAGGGCTCTGGGTCTTTGTTCTTCCCGCTGCCAGGAGGTGGCTGTCATCTTCTGGGGACAGATGCCATGTGACACAGCCCCTCTGGGATGCGCCTGGGCTCTGCCAGGCTCTCGGCCCCCCACACCCTGACTGAGTCACCACAGCACTTCTTGCCTTGGGGCATCAGGCTCAAAATCCCCATCCAATGTGGTCTGTTTTTTCCCAGTTGCTCCAGTGGCATTAGGAGACCACTGTGACCTAATGCCCTGGTCATCGTGTCCCCTGGTAGGAAGACACCTCTCTTGGGTACCGAATCCTCTTAGCTGGCAGAGCCTGAGGTGCCTCACTGCTGGGGCTGAGCTGAAGGACACCACCACAGCAGCATGTACCTCTGGTCCTCCCTGCAGGGCCTAGAGGCCAGGTGTGACGGGTGTGACATAAGCCTCCCTCTTCCCCTTTTTCAGTTAACAGTTCGGGGAATTTCCCCTGAGGCCATAGGTTGGGCTTGAGGATGAGACGGCAGCCTCCTGCTCACCAGTGATCCATAGGGCCTGTGGAGTCTCACCCCAGCTATACTTCCCGTTGACACACTTGGCGTTGTGCATGGGCAGATCCCATGACAGTCAGTGTCTGGTGGACAGTTCCGTGTCCGTGGTCATTTGGGACTGTGTCTCAGTCACCCAACCCCGGGGAACTGAAAGACAGTAGAGGCTTATCTGACTCCTGGCTCTGGAGACAACTGTCTAAGTCGTGGTGGTGGCATCTGCTGGGTGTCCTGAGGCTCCCCTGCTGTAGTGTGGCACAGAGGAGGCATCACATGGTGAGACCCAGCAAGCAGGGGAGCCAGCAAGGGGACCCCACCCTTGCACCCCAGTGCATCCCATCCCCTCCCAAAGCCCCACCTCCAACAACCCTTAGTGTGTGAATCTGGAGGTCCAGCTTCCAGCACCCCGTCTTAGGGGGTCACACTCAAGTCATACCATGGTCAAGGATGGAGTCTGTTCCAGGGTCCAGTGGAAAGTGGGGAGCTCATTCCTAAGAGGGGGAGAGACAGCTGTGGCTGCAGCCCTGGGCCTAGCCTGGGGTTCTCCTCTCTGTCCCCAGCATCCTGGTCTTCTTGCATATTTATGGGTCACTGGGGGTCACAAGGCTGAGCTGCAGGCTCCACCTCCAGGGCAGCTGTAGAAGTCTCCAGTTCTGGCTCCTGCTGGGGGGGGGGGGGGGGGGTTGAGGCAGCCTTGTGGGTTACTCTGCCAGAGCCAGAGCATTCATAGGGGTGTGCACCCCACCCCCACCCACCGTGCTTCTACTTAGCCGTAGATGATAGTGACATCACTTAGGTGTCATTTAGGGAGGGGCTGTCCCTGTGTTACCAAACAAATAGATGCCTGGAAAGCCTCATGACACACAGAAAGGGGTAGAATTTGCAGGGCATATTGAATGACAGATCAAGTCATTCACAGTCGGCAGTGACCTACCTGGCAACGCGGACCACCCAGGCTGCGGGAGTGGTGCCTTGGTCCCCTACTCACCTGGGCCTTGTTGGCTCATTAGCGTCCCTGGAGTAGATTTAGTGAGGTGCCATGGATGGATGAATCTGTCTTTCCAGACCGAGGCAGGGGGTCACAGTCCAGACAGTTTAACAGCTTTGCAGCCTAGTGGCGTATTACCCTTCCTGCTGGGTCAATGTTTTCTGTGTAATTTGGATAGAGAAAAATGCATCCCCGAGTGGAGAGCTGCATGCGGGGAGCTGCAGCGGGCTCTGCCGATCTGTTCTGGCTCCAGTGCCACCATCGGGGCAGCCCTGCCGTCCGAGTCCCACAGATTGAACCCTGCACAGCCAGACGGTGCACCCGTGCACCTATCAAGCAGGTTTTGTTTTATGCTTTTACTTTTAGACAGTGCCAGAGGGCTCCTGGCACTTCCAAAAGATCTGTGCTCCTGAAGGGGCCAAGCCACTGAGGGGACCCCGCCAATCAGAAGATCTGAGAATGGGTCAGGGCTGGGTTTTGGGCCATGACTTTGTCATGGTGGCGCAACTCAGTCCTGGGTGGTGCGGAGTTAAGTGTCTCCTAGTTTTCACAAGTGGATCCTCAGTAGGTGGCCCATCTATCTCAGATGCAGGGCTCCAGGATCAGTAGTCCACAGCCCCGTGGCCCCATGGCCCCGTGGCTGGAGCATTCTGTGCTCTGCTCTGACCTCACTTCCCTCACTTGCGCTGGACCCACTGTGCAAAATGATTTATAAAAATGCTGTAAGAACCCCCTCCCCTCTGCCCACACACGTAGCTTATTCTTCCCCATGACTCTTGCACCAGCGTGAAACTTGCTTCCGCCAAAGAGGCAGTCATAAAAGTGACGGAAGCAGAGAGTTGGTGGGTGCTCGTGTACTGGACACCCTGGGCCGTGGTGACCACCTATGCACATAAACCACACATTTGAACGATGCACAGCTGTGCCGTAACAGCCAGCAGCTCCAGCATAACAACCACCCGCTCTCAGGGGTGGGAGGGAAGCTAGTAGATAACCAACACCCAATAGCCACGGGTTGTCGGGAAAGCCACTAGATGCCACTTGCTTGTCCCAGACCTGAAGAACTTCCCAGCCTACTCAAAACCACGTGCTGAGTAAAATTGTCATTGATTAAAGCTCTTACATTTAGGGACCTCTTGTTATGCAGCAAAAACTGATACACCCACTTGCCTTAGAAGAATTGGTGCCACCCTTGGTCACTGCCATACTGGAATGCCTCAGTCCACTGAAGTTCCCATGGCAGCCTCTCCACATGCTTTCTGGGTCACAGAAGCTGTTACTGCAGGGCTTTCCAGGGTGCACTGCTGTCCTCTGGGCCCTACCTGGACAGATGGGTCACGAAACGCCTCATGCCCAGGGACTGCTGTTGTCCCAGCCTGGCTGAGTGCAGGCAACTGTAGAGCCCAGCCAGCCATGGAGCCACCTGTGGTTCCTACCAGTTCCCCAGCCCTGACTGTCACCAAATGCAGTTCCAGGGCCACCCACACCCAGTTCCACTCCCTGCCCTCCATCCATTCCACACGTATTTCCCATCAATTTGCTACCATAAATTGGCAAGAGTTTGCAATAAGAAAAGCAGCAGAGTGGGTGCTGCGCTGGGTGCTTCTAATCTCAGCTCCTCGGGAGGCCGAGGTGGGGGACAGCAAGTCCGAGGCCAGCCTGAACGCTAGCGGAGACCCTCTCCCAAAGTAAAAGCAGAAGTCCCTGGGTTGGATCCTCAGTACTCAGGGAGAAGAAAGGAGAGAAGTCAGGGGAAGCAGAGAGTTGCCAGCCCACTCCTTCCCACCACGGCCTCCTGCACTCCTGTGGGCTGCCTGCAGCTGGCTGAAGGAGCACGTGCAGAGAGCAGGGCATGACAGAGGAGCACCAGCCCTGCACCCCTTGAAAGGTGGGCACATGGGCAGGGTCCCTGCAGCTTTCCCAGCACAGCAAACCTTTCTGTCTGACCCAGAACAGGGCCCCCTCTGGCACTTGGGGCCTGGGGTGTTGAGAGGTGAGTAGGGGCTGATTCTATTTTGTAGAGTCCTCTCTTCCCTAAATGCAGCCCTGCCCTCCGCACCGTGAGCTGTGGGTATGGTCCGTGTCCTCCCCCCACACCATGTGGGATTCGAGCCTGTGTCCGCTTTTCAGCTGCCTCTGCCCTGCAGCCTTGAGAGAGAAGAGCAGCTTCCGGGGCGCAGTGAAGCCACAGGGCCTCGGCACACGCCTGGGAGGCAGAAGGGGAGGGCCTGGCTGGGTTCCTGCCTTGACACTGAAGAGCAAGCCCATCCCTCAGCCCTGGCACAGCCCACGCTTACTGCTCAGTGTAAGGCACCAGCCACCAACCCAGCCGCCATGCCTTAGAGCTGGGGGACAACAGGTGACAGCTTGGCCTCTGTACATCGCAATCCACCGGAGTCCACTTCTTGCGGTGGCGAGATCCTCACTGCCTTTAGCTCAACCAGAGCAGGTCATAATTTAGAAACGAAGCTCAAGGTCCAGCTGGAGGACTTGCAGCCTGCAGCTATGCAGAGTGACCCGAAGACAGAGAATGTTTAATTTTTTCACTGCCACGAATCCCCGTCCAAATCCTCCCACTTGCTTCAAACACACTTATCCCATGGTTCTTGCCACTTTTGGTAGCAGTTCTGGAAGTCCCCCTTCTTGAGGGTCTTCAGTTGTGCCATGTGGCTGCCTCAATGTCCTGAATCGATTGCAAATATTTCTCTTTCACAGTGAATTTTTTTGGGGGACAAAGCCACACGGTGCCAGATCTGGTGAATGAGGTGAACAAGGACACACAACTTCTATCTTTGAGTCTGCCCTTCTGTCAGACAGCCTGTGGCAGCAGCATTTACTATATTTTTGATCATCCTTTAGAAAGACACATTAGGGAAAGGAAGGAGGAGGTTAGGGATGAGGGTGGGGTTGGGTGTAGCCAAGCTACCGGGGCAGGACTTGTGGGCTGGGCTTGCAGGTGGGCTTTACCTTAGGGATTTTAGAGCTCCATTGATGGGTTTTGGCGATTGAGGGTGAAGGGTCGGCTGGGGTGACTGGGGGATGTGGTTCTGCTCTTGGGGACCCTGTGTGGTCCAGGCTGGATGAGTGGCCTGGGTGGTGGCGGGAGATGCCCAGGTGAGGCACAGCAGAGTCTGCTGAGGGTGGGGGCTTAGAGAACTGAGCCCCCATTTTTGCCTTGCTGTTCTGAAGGTGAGAAGACAGAGCAGGGGGCAGGGAGGAGGGAGGGAGGTTGGACATCAGACAGGGGGTGTCCCTGTTGCCTGAAGCCCCAGCATCTGGAGAAGCCAGACAAGGCAGAGCCTTGGGTGGGTGGGCTTGAGCCCTGAACCTCTGAGCCCGGGTGGGTGGGCTTGAGCCCTGAACCTCTGAGCCCAGGTGGGTGGGCTTGAGCCCTGAACCTCTGAGCCCGGGTGGGTGGGGTTTGGGCCCTGAACCTCTGAGCCGCACAGAGGAGGAGGAAGCACTCACAGGGCCATCTCTGAGCAGCCCCAGAGGAAGTCGCAGCCACCACCCACCGTGCCTCTCACCACTGGGGCCCTGGGAGCCCCACAGAACCGGAACCTGCGCTGTGAGCCCCAGGCCTGTCGAAAAGCAGCCGGTGAGTCTTTGTGCAGCCCAGCCTGGAGCCCCAGCTGCCTGGCCCTTCTGCCTGGCCACGTGCCAGAACCCCAGGGCACAGGGGAGCCCTGAGAAGCAGCAGGGGTGGGGGTGGGGCAGAAGGCAGCCAGAGACTCAGCTGAGGCCAACAGGGAGGGTGGGGAGAGAGGACTCCACCTGTCCTCGTGTCCTGTCCACCCTTTCTGCAATTGCCTTCCCCGGTCCTCATCAGTCCATGGAGGAGGAAGGCAGTCACCGAGGCCCAGGGCAGGGTAGGGCCCACCCAGGGCCGCCCCACATGAGAGGCGACGCCAGGTCTGCACCCTGGGCCATGTCTACCCTGTTTTGAACAAATGCATCAGGACCAGGGACATGAAGGGCTTGGCCCAGACTCACACAGCCAGTGTCCGACCGGAATCGGGGGCCAAGTGCTAGTCCTTGTGTGTGTCCCCTGGGATGCTACCAGCCTAAGGACAGGGGCCCAGGGTACTTCTACCCCACAGAGCCAGGGCTCCCTGCTCGGGCACCTGCCAGGTGACCTCTCCACCCAAATATCTGGATGGGATTGGGGTGCTAGGCGGATGTGGGGTGGACAGACGGGCAGAGGGAGGGGGATGCTTCAGCACAGTGAGGGAAGCCACTGCAGAGAGGAAGTGGCTGGGACCGGAAGGGGCCTGGCTGGCTCGCGTGGGCTCCCAGGCTAGGGCAGGCCCGGCACTGCCTGTAACAATGACAAGGGGGGAGGCTGCCCTTCCTCGTGGAACATGTGTCTTGGGCTCTGTGGACAAGAGCCCCAAGTACCCCAAGGCCTGGAACAGGCTGCGGAGGCCAGGCCCCATGGAGAGCCTTGTGCAGGACCGAGGCCACCTCCCTGTGAGCCCCTCTGTTCCCGCAGGACTGGGGCTGCTGCCTGGGGTCAGTCTTGTTCTGGCTTGGGGTATCAAAAGCACAGCTTTTTCTGGGCCCAGGTAGCTGCCCCTACCCTACAGCTCACCCCAGGATGTCCAGGGCTCTGCAGAGCAGCCTGGATCCCACCCCAGGGGTCTGTAGTGCGGGGGGCGTGGTGAGGACAGGGCAAGCTAAGCCTTCAGGGACCACAACACTACCCTCTGTCCCTCGCCCTCCAGGGAGAAGATGGAGCCCGAGCCCCTCTACAACCTGCTGCAGCTCCCCAAGGGCATGGCTCCATCCATGGAGGAAGACGGGGAGGAGCTGCCTCAAGGTGCAAGGCAGGCAGGGGAGGGCTGTAGGTGTGGGGCGGGGAGCCCCAGGGGGCCGGGCCCTGGAGCTCTCTTGGCACTCCTGGCCTGCACAAGGCAGACCTTGCAGCCTGTGTCGGGGCCACGTGAGGGCTGCGTGTGCAAGGTTGTGCCATGGGCTGACTCAGTTTCCCTGCTACACCGGGATCAGCTGGTCCCCACAGCCTTGTGTGCACCTTGAGCCTGGCTGCTGAGGGAGGCCTCAGGGAAAGGAGGAAGGAGCCGCAGGCCTCAGAGGGCACAGGGCCCTCCATGTCAGGGAGCCGGGCAGCCTGGCAGTGCCCACCTTGGTCCTTGGAACAAAATGTCCCCAGGTTCTCCTGACACAGGCTCCCTGTGCTCCCAGGAGAAAAGAAGAAATACCTGCCCCCCAATTCCCGGAAGGACCCCAAGTTCGTAGAGCTGCAAAAGGTATGGCAGCCCCGAGCCCTGAACCCGGTCCTCTGCTCTGACGATGGCCGTGACCCTGGTGCTGCCACCGCTGGCCACATGGCACGGATGGGCTCGGGCCTCTGGTCTTCTGCCCACTCCTCCAGACCCATGTAGCCTGGCTGCCACCTCTCCCAGGGAAGTCTCCAGGGCTGCACCACTTCCCCACTTAGATTTTGTGGGTGCCACCTCCTCACCCACCCGCTTCCTGCCTTCAGCAAACCCACCAGGCTCAACCCCATACTGGGTGCATAATCAAGTTGTCAACAGAGCCTGGAGGTGCAGGGGATCTATCCCTGTCTTCTCCGAGTGACAGGTAGTGCCCTGCGCCTGGCACCCCTGGCTTCACTCCGCTCCATGTGCTGACGGCAGGGTCGACCCGGTCCGCATTTCTCCTGGGTTCCAAGGCTGCCTGGGCTTTCTGTTACCGGGGACCTGTTATCCGGTTGTTCCCATCTCCCCATGCGCTGCCGAGCCCCCATCTTACATATCTGGGGTGGTGGTCAGGCACCGAAACCTCACCCATGAGGTCCTGCAGCCCTGGGGGTGCGGCGGGGAGACCTGGGGTCTGTGTAGCCTGGAGCAGCCCCAACCGCCAGAGATCAGGTAGGGCTTCCTGGAGGCAATGACGCTGACGAGGCCTCCGAGTTTGGCTAGGCGTCCCCAGCTGCGACGAGGCTACCCAGGCTGTGCCCGCCCCAGCCGTGCCCTGTGGGCCGCAGGTGCTGATGGAGTGGATCAACGCCACCCTCCTGCCCGAGCACATCGTGGTCCGAAGCCTGGAGGAGGACGTATTTGATGGGCTCATCCTGCACCACCTCTTCCGTAAGCCCCGCCCCTCCCGGCCCCCACTTCCGGCCTCCGAAGGGACGCTACTCCTGCCCTCCAGATGACCTGGCCTGGAGCTGTGCTCCGGTCAGGATCCCACATCCGCACAGCTCCGCCGTCCAACACTGATCAGGCACCTGCTGTTTCTAGGGACCAAAAGATAAAGAAACCTGCTGCCCCTGTCCCCAGGAAAGCAGGTCCTCACGGGTGAAGTGTCCCGGCAGCAGGGGCAGGAGTGGGTGGGCTGGCGCCTCCTGTCTCATCCATAGGCCCGTCTGCAGAGCCCCTCACAGCAGAGCCCTCACCTCCGAGCCCCGCAGGTCTTCCCCACAAGCCTGGAGCCCCGCCTGACTTAGTGCCCAGGCCAGGGTGTCTGTCTGATTTACGGGTGAGGGGCAGCGTGTGGGGCCCCTCTGGGGCTGGGCTCATGAGGCCTGCCGAGCCTCCTGCCAGCCAGAATGAAGGCTTCCTGGGCTCTTCCCGGAGCAGGCACGGTCAGTCCTCAGAGACGGCTCTGGATGCTTTCTGGCCCCACTTTACAGATGAGGAAACGGGGCTCTGAGAGGCCAGCGACTTGCCCAAGGTCTCACAGTGGCCCACCGCTGGACCATGTGGCACAGACAGCCTCAGGCCTTCAGTCCTCCGCCTGCTCCTCCAGCAGAGTAGGGGTCAGCCAAGGGCGGAAGCCTGCGTCTTTGTTTCTAGCACTCTGGAAGACTGAGGCTGGAGGATCACAAGTTCAGGCTCAGTCGGGGCAACTGAGAGCTTAGTGAGATGCTGTCTCAAAAGATGAAAAAGGGCTGGGGATGTAGCTCAGTGGGGAGGTCCTGGGGTCTCTTCCCACTCCTGCCAAGAGGAGGAAAGAAAGAAAAGAAAATGGGCAGGAAGGTGCCCAGGAGCCTCGGCTTTAACCACTAGGCCACACTAGCCTGTGGGACTGCAGTGACCATCGCTGGGCAGGTTCGGGCCCAGCAGTGACTGGGTGGATCGGGCCACGGAGGGCAGCCGGGAGGCTGTGGCCTGCTTCCGACGCACAGCCTCTTTCTTGGCCCGTTTCCTGAGTGGACGGGGTCATCTGAGGTGGATGCGCCCACGCGGCTGTCCTGCTGATGCTCTGCACGTGGCCTGGGCGGTCCAGGGCACCGGCCGGGCCTGGTCCCCACTGTCAGGATCCTGTGCCGCCTCTCTGACCTCACACCCTCTTCTGCCACAGAGAAGCTGGCGGGGCTCAAGCTGGAGGCCGAGGAGATCGCCCTGACGGCTGCCAGCCAGAGGCGCAAGCTGGAGGTGGTGCTTGGGGCTGTGAGCCAGAGCCTGGGCACAGAGGAGCTGCAGGTTCCATGGAGTGTGGACGGTGCGTGGCTCCAAGGTGATGCCACCCTGTGGGCAGCGGGTACCAGAGGCAGGGTGTACCCAGCTCCCAGATCCGTTTAACCGAAAGCTGTTGGACCTGCCTTTTAGCAACGTAGAGGATACAAAACCTTCACTCCTCCCTGAAGCACCCGTTAGCTGTTGGCTGAAGAGTATTTTGCCACTTGGGTCTCGGTCTCCTCCCCATCTTCCAGATGGACAGGCTGAGGCCCAGAGGAGTGGAGTGGCTCCTCCAAGGTCGGGCGGCAGAGGTGTAACAGAAGTTCCATTGCCAAACCCAATTTGGTTAGGTCCTGTCCCCACCCCATCAATCACCGATATTCATGGGGTGACCCCGAATTAAGTCATAGCTGGCTTACATCTGAGGAGGGTTCAGTCACACTGACCATGGGTTGATCTGCTGTCCATGTACACAGTGCTGCGGGGAGCATCTTTGTATCTAAAGCTCTGTCCCTGTCCACACTCTGGCTTGCACCTGTCGACTGTGTTCACAGGGGCACCCGTGATCCCCATCAATTCCAGTGGCGAAGTTGATAAGAGGGTTCCACTGTGCCCTCCAGGGACCAGGAACACTTGTGGCTTTGGGCATGGCTCTCTTGTCTTCCTGAGGTGTGAGAATTGCCAGAATCAACATGGGGTCACTTGAGTCAACCCACAAACCGGTCTGCAGAGGGTGGCCCTGTGGACAAGGAGGCTCGGTGGCTGCTCTGTGGGCCCCTGCTCTGATCTGGGTGCTTCTCCTCTCCCAGCCATCTTCAGCAAGGACCTGCTGGCCACTCTGCACCTGCTGGTGGCCCTGGCCCGGCACTTCCAGCCCACTCTGGCCCTGCCACCCAACGTCCGGGTAGAGGTCGTCACCATTGAGGTATTGGGCCATCCTTTCAAACTGACACCTGTGCCCCGGGCTTTGTGGGACAGGGGTGACCCGGGCTGGGAGACGCAGCAGGTGACCCTGGGACTGCAGCAGGGTTGTACCAAAAGCTGGGGTCAGGAGTGTTAGGAAGCTCCCAGCAGGTGACACCTGTGTTGTGTGACCACACTGGGGCTACTGGGGACTTCATACCACTGAGGCAAAGGTGCTGCCTCCCCGACCATGTCACATGCTCCCAGCCCATTCCATGTGTGTGAGTGAGTCTGTGCTCCAAGCCCTATAGCTGGGGCACCTCCTGCTCCCGTGGGGGTCCCCACCCTATCCCACAGGTCCCAAGGCCAGGACCTTCCTGATTCATCCTAATGGGACAACCTATGACCCACCAATGCACTCCCACTCAGGCCTAATTTTTCCAAACCCACTCATTAAAACTCGCCTGAGGGGTCTGAGGCTTTGCGTCACCTGCTCGAAGCAGTCATGCAGGCCAGCGTCGCTGACACTGTCCCCAAGAGCCAAGCTGCCTTGAGCATGAGGCTGTCATGGTCACCGTCCTCGCACTCCAGGGCTCATGGAGGGCCCTTCCACAGCATCATGGGGCCCATGCCCAGGAGGAGATAGGGGTTTCCCGGGGCAGCTTTGGGTCCACAGGAGGGGTCTCAGTGGTCCCTTGCTTTCCTCTCCTAGAGAGCCAAGAGCGGCCTCAAGTCGGAGAAGTGGGAGGAGCAGCTCACAGGCAGCAGGTGAGGGCAGAAGGGACCTCTCCGTCTCCGCGCCTGCTGCTTCCTGACCCCTCTGCCCTGCTGTAGCATGCAAGTCCTCTGCAGGTCCCTGCCTGGCCCACTCAGGCCACCCAGCCACAGCCTCTGCAGCGGCGACATCCAGGAAACACAGCTTCTGGGTTTGGGACATGGGTTCTGCCCAGAGAGTCACAGAGCCTCTCTACTTGGAGCAGAATGTTTCTGCCCTTGAGCTGCTGCACGGGTTGCAGGGACCTGGTCGCAAAGGCCCAGAATGGGGTGGGGTGGATTTGCTGGCGCACATCCTCACTTGGTGTGACTCTGACCCAGCGGCCTCTCGGCAGCCTGGGATGGCACCTGTAGGGATGCATGCTCCTTCTGGGTCTCCCAGGGCCCGAGCATGGCTGTTGCTAGCACGTCCTCAGAGTTGGGCTTCTTCACCCCCATTCTTTTGGTTTTGGCGCTGTGTCTTCAGCCCTGCCCCTGCTCCGCAGAAGCAAGATTCTCTGCTTTTAAAGGCAGCAAAATGCCTCTCCCAGGGTCCCCAGGAGGGAGCTGGGCCTCAAGGGCTAGAGGCTGCTCCTCCTTCACTGTCTTCACATGCAGCTGGCCCAGACCAGGGTGTGGCTGGGTGAACCTGGCCGCTGCTGGGGATGTTGAAGATTTTTGGCTTTTTGTATGAGTTACCAAATGCTGTGTAACAAGTGTTCCCAGACTAAGCACAATTTTCATTCTTCTCACACTTTTGGAGCAGCTTACCTGGGGGTTTCTGGCTCATGGTCTCTTCTGGGGCTGCTGTCTAGTCATAGGCCATGGCTGCGTCCCATGGATCTGTGGACGGCACAGGGACTGTTGCCCCCCAGCTGCACTGGCCTGTGCTGAGCCTGAGTCTCTGTCTCGGGCTGCTGAGCACCACCCTGGGTGACCCCTCTCCTGTCTGGAGTGCTGTGGTCAGAGGGGCTTGACCTGCCCACAAGTCTGTCTGGAATGCAACAGCATGCTTTGGCCCTGGAACCTGGAGTGCTGAGCTTGGAAGGGGAGGGATGCTCCGGGTCTGCATATTCCTCTAACTGTTTGCTTTTTTCCTCCTTTTTAGTACAGACAAGGACCAAACTCCAAGTGAGTACTTTTCTGGTGGAAGGAGGGGCTTCCCTTCCAATGTGGGTTGGGGTGGACATGCAACCATGGGTGGATGGATGGATGGATAAGTGGGCAGATGGATGGATGGATGGATGGATGGATGGATGGATATACGGTTAACTGCTGGTGCCCTTCCTTTCCCTGCTTCCTACTGTGTGGCCTCAGGCTTAATTCCTGTCATCTCTGCCTCCTTCTGTCCACCTGCCCATCCATGAAGCTGACTGCTTGCTATTGCCCCTCTGGGGACAGAGATCATCCACATAGGGTGATGTGGAGTAGTTGGCGGAGCGGACTCTGGAGCCTGGGTGCAGGAACTAATTCTTTCCCTTATTAGGCAGGTGGTTTGGGCAGGTGTCCTTTTTTTTTTCCAGAGCCAGTGATTGAACTCAGGCCCTATGGAGAAAGTGCTTATTCTACTGAGCTATCTCCCCGGCCCCTGTCAGACAGGTGTCTTAATAGCCATGCCTCAGTTTCCTCAGCTACAAACTGGGATTAGTGGTGGCACCTACTTCGTGAGCTAGTGGGGAGGTCACAGGAGACAATGTGTGGTGTATACAGCACACGAGGAGCGTGGGGTGAGCGCTTGGTTGTGCAGCTGCTGCTGTCTGATGGAGTGGCTATTTCTTTCCTCATCATGGTGGAAAGGTCAGCTATTCATCTGCTCATCCATCATTTTTTTCCACATATCCATCCATCTATGCACCCATCTACCACCCCATCTATCCATCTGTCCATTTGTCTGTCTGTCCATTCATGCACCTGCCCACTGCTCATCCATCCATCCATCCATCCATCCATACATACATACATACATACATCGCCCACTCACATAAGAATCTGTCCATGTATCTATCTACTTACTCATGTATCCATGAATCATCCATCCATCCATCCATCCATCCATCCATCCATCCATCCATCTGCCCACTTATCCATCCATCCATCCACACAATCTGGCTACCTGCTTATCCATCCATCCATCCATCCATCCATCCATCCATCTGAACACCTGCCCATCATCCATCCATGTGCCTACTTATCCATTCATCCATCCATCCATCCACCCATCAATCTGGCCACCTGCCCACCCATCCATCCATCCATCCACCCACCATCCATTCATGTGCTCACTTATCCATCCATCCATCCATCCATCCATCCATCCATCATTCATCCACCACCCACTCACATAAGTATCCATATATGTACCCACTCATCCATCTATCCCTGAATCATCCATCCATCCATCCATCCATCCATCTACCCATCCATCTGGCCACCTGCTCATCCATCCATCCATCCATCCATCCATCCATCCATCCATCCATCATTCATCCACCACCCACTCACATAAGTATCCATATATGTACCCACTCATCCATCTATCCCTGAATCATCCATCCATCCATCCATCCATCCATCCATCCATCCATCCATCCATTCATCCATCTATCCATCCACATATTCATTATCCATGTTCATCTACCCAGCCTTCCATGCAACCACCAACCTATCCACCCATCCACATATCTGCCATCCACCTACCCTCCCACCTACCCTCTTATAAATCTATCCATTCATCCACTCTCTTGCCATACATCCTCCCTTCCACGTATGGATGCTGCCCATCCACTTATGCTTGCCCTCCTTACCTGCTAACACTCATTTCCTCCCCAAATCCTTTGCTTGGGTTCCTGCTGTGGGCAGGAGTGGCACGAGAGGTGCATCACATGCAGATGTAGACTCAGTGACCTGTGGGGAAGGAAGGCAGGGCTTGAGGGCTTCTGAGGCCTGTGTGGGGTGGGGTGGGGCATGGCATGAGCACCCAGGGTGACCCTGGAGCAGAGTTTGGGGCAGTGTGAGGAAGGTGTCATGGTGAAGGCCGGGACCCAGGGCACAATGGCACTCTCAGCAGCAGCTGTCCTGGACACGGCCAGAGGCCTGGTGGGGAGGGGGTGCTTCCCCTTGCTGGTTGATGTCCAAGGGTTCCAGTGTGCACGATGCCATCTCATGTGGCTTTTCCCTTGCAAACAAGGGCCTGGAGGGTGGTAGGGTGCAGTGACTTCCTCAGAGTCACGTGGCTGCAGAGTGGCAGAGTTGAAGGCACCCTCCAAATGCCCCGGGTGCTCAGGGCCCGAAGCCTGGAGGCCCCCGGAACTGCACTGCCTGCAAATCACGGGGCCTGCACTGGCACAAAAAGCCTGGGTCTGAGGACATGGGAGCCCGTGGCTGGACTCAGGCCTGAGCCTCTTACTGTCCCCAGACCCTCAGCTGCTGCAGGTCAGACACTGAGAGGCCAGACATCCCCTCTCTGCAGCCCAGAGACTGGGAATGGCTGGGGGGTGGGCATGGCATCTGTGGGCCATGGTGAACAGAGGACAGGGAGGAGGGTGGTCCGGGCCAGTGGCTGGGGACATCTGAGTGGGCACAGTGCCCCAGGCAATGCGGGCAGGACCAGGCTCTCTGAGGTCATAGACATCAAGTCAAGGTGCCACGTGTCTGCATCCGCCACCCACATCATCTTGGCAGTGTCCCCACCATGACGGGGAATCCAAGGCACAGAAAGGGCAGGTGACTCCCTGAGGCCACGCAGCCCGGACAGCAGTGGCCACACCAGGCTTGTCTCATTTGTGAGAGAAAACACCTACCCCTCAGGACTGATCATTCGGAGGATATTTTGTGGGAAAATCTTCCCTGTTTGGTGCAAAGATAATAGCATAGTAATGAGGCATTTATCGGCTCTGGATCTGCAGAGGATGTCTTTGATGAATTATTCAAGCTGGCTCCAGAGAAAGTGGGTGCTGTGAAAGAGGTAGGAGAGAGCCCTGTCTGCACGCCCTGCCCCTGCGCGCCCTGCCCCTGCATGCCCTGCCCCTGCGCGCCCTGTCCCTGCACACCCTGCCCCTGCGCGCCCTGTCCCTGCACGCCCTGCCCCTGCGCGCCCTGTCCCTGCACGCCCTGCCCCTGCGCGCCCTGTCCCTGCACGCCCTGCCCCTGCGCGCCCTGCCCCTGCGCGCCCTGCCCCTGCACGCCCTGCCCCTGCACGCCCTGTCCCTGTCCCTGCACGCCCTGTCCCTGCCCCTGCACGCCCTGTCCCTGCACACCCTGCCCCTGCCCCTGCACGCCCTGTCCCTGCACACCCTGCCCCTGCGCGCCCTGCCCCTGCGCGCCCTGCCCCTGCGCGCCCTGCCCCTGCGTGCCCTGCCCCTGCGCACCCTGTCCCTGCACACCCTGCCCCTGCCCCTGCACGCCCTGTCCCTGCACACCCTGCCCCTGCCCCTGCACGCCCTGTCCCTGCACGCCCTGCCCCTGCACGCCCTGCCCCCGTGCGCCCTGACCCCGCGCGCCCTGCCCCGCACACCCAGGGGCCCTGCCCATCCTGCTCTCGCCCTGGGCCCCCGTGTCCCGGTGACCAGACGGGGTGGGATTGTCAGGAAGGAGGCATATCAGAGCCCGGCTGGGGTCTTGCTGTTCCCTGGCCAGGCCATCGTGAGCTTTGTCAACCAGAAGCTGCAGCACTTGGGGCTGTCGGTGCAGGATCCGGACACACAGGTAGGGCACAGATGTGGGTCCCCAGAGAGCCAGAGGCTGCTACTTAGGAAGGGGGGAGGGCTGTGTAGGAGTCAGGATCTGGCTGTGTGGCCAGGGGCAGGGGTGGCACCTCTGGGAGCCTTGGGGTGTACTGCTGGGCGGTAGCACTGCCCCCTGGGCTTCTCTCCTGCAGCAGCTGTTACTTGTACCCACAAGTTTTGTAACTGTGGCAGGCACATAAAGATGAGGGGACTGGAACCAAAGTGTCCCAGGATAGAATCATGGGCAGTGTTCACTGTCACCCTCTGTGTCTTGTCAGTGACCATGAATGCAGTGAATCCCCACCCAGCCCCCAAGAGGGGACTGATATTGTCCCCTTTGATAGTGAGGGACACTGAGGCACAGAGGGGGTGGTTAATATCCACAGCTGCTGGCGATGAAGAGGTAGCCCTGGGATTGGAGCCCAGGCAGCTGGTGCTGAAGCTTGGGCTCATAACCACTCTGCGAGCCAGACACTTGAGGTCTGTGTATGGTGGTGACATAGTACCCACGTCAAAATCTTGGAAGTCAGATGAAGAGGGGCTTCCATCCTGTGCTCGTCACTTGTGACCCTTGGGCTCTGAGGATACCACATTTGCAGCGTGACCTTAGGCAAATTATTGGACTTCTCTGAACCTCAGTCTCCTCTTTATACAAAATGAGCACAAGGATTCCAGCCGATCTTAGAGGACTGAGATGTTGAAATGTGACTGAAATGCTTGGCGAATGTTTAAATGCTAAAGTATTTATTACAGTAAAAGACACCTTGTCACTAGCTCCCCTCATCCCACGCCCCCTTCTCCCGACCCACTCGCCCTGTCCTTCTCGCCAGTCTGAAGCAGCTCTGGAGGTTCTCTTTCCTGGACGTCTTTACACTGTGATAAACATCCACAGTCAGTGCTGTTGGCAGGTGCCGTCCGAAGGAAAGGCAGCCCGGAAAGCCATAATGGCGTGTTCTCACCACCTTACTCCCTGTGCAACTTCTCGCTCCTCCCCAAAGTCAGAATGACCACGGAAGGCCAGCTTTTTGAGTGGACTCAGAGCACTGAGATGGCCATGACAGTGTAACTAGAGACCCCCACGAAAGAGCCCTTCCAGAGCAGCTTCAGAAAGTGGCGGGAGCAACGGGACCAGTGAACCGAAAGTGTGTGGGGGTTGTACTTGGGAAGTGTGCCTATAGCTGTGACACATTTTTAAAAAATGTAAATATTAGCCATTGTATCTTTTGACCACTTCTCCTACAGGAGATGATGAGTGTCGGGGATCCACGTGGCCTGCCACATGGCCAGCTTGCAGTCAGTGAGACATTCGTGGTTTTGTTCTGCTTTATGCGGTCCACAGGCGGGATGGTTTCTGAAGTTTCTATTCTGCCTTGTTGACCCCTGCCTCTCCTTGGGGAAAAGGCCGGTGCCGGAGGAGCCTGGCGCATCCGGGCATGGCGTTTTAGAGACCTTCGAATAGGGAGGGAGATGGAGTCCCGTGTGCTCTGCGCCAGGAACAGCAGCAGGCGAGATTCCAGGCCCAAGCTAACAGCATCAGAACAGACGCAACCCAAGTAAATTCCATTAAGGACTCGGAGCGCTGGTTTTTTCTTCCAATATCCAATCTAGTGTCTTGGGGCTTTGAAGAGACTCAATAGGATTATACTAGCACATGATGTGCTGGTAGCAGAGGTGGCAGCTTTATCTCTGAGCACACAGAACAGACAGAAATATTAATGTGGCAGCCGCAGAGAGGCTCAGGGTGATGCTTTCTGCCCTTTCCTGACGGCATAATTGTACACTTACCTCTGTTTCCTTCAGCGTTTCTGCAGCTCATGGAATAAAATGTCACTTACACACTGATACAAGGTTATTCTGCATCAAGTTGGGAAGCAGCTTTTTATTGAGTATGTACTGTGTGCAAGATGGCCTATCACCGCTGTGTGGGGATAAAAACTGGGAATGTCATCCACATGGCTCAGAAGGGAACCGCAGGCTCGGAGAGCCAGCACGACCTCTTGAGGGCCACGCAGCTGGTGAACAGCAGAGAGAGTCCCTCTATCCGCCTTCTCCGCGCTGAGCCTCGGGTCCCTCCTTTGCAGTTTGCAGATGGAGTCGTCTTGCTCTTGCTGATTGGACAACTGCAAGGGTTCTTCCTGCACCTGAAGGAGTTCTACCTCACTCCCAGCTCTCCTGCAGAAATGGTGAGTTTTCCGAAGATTTTCTGAGGCTATCTATCTTGGGTGGACAGATCTACAGAGTTGGTAGTGAAGGGGAAAAGAGAAGAAATTTATTTATTTGTACGTCTGCCCATCTACTCATCCACCCACCCACCTGCCCACCCATCCATCCACCCATTAATCCATTTGCATGCTCAGCTACCTATTCATCCCTCTATCCATACATACATACATACATGAATTCACACATCCATGCATCCACACATCCATCTACCCACCCACCCATTTGTCCATCCATTCATCCATCTATGTATTCACATGTCCATGTATCTATGTATCTATCCATCCATCCATCCATCCATCCATCCA